CCTGAAGTATGTGAGACAAAGCTTTTTCATCTTTATCGCCAAGGAACATTCTGGTTTCCTTTTTCCAAGATAAATATTTGTTTGTTCTTTTGGCAGTCTATAGGATGTTCAGTACTTTTCTCCAGTACCACAGTTCAAAGGTATCAAATCTTCTGTTCAGCTCTGTGCATAGCAAGTGATTGGAAACAATATGGTCTTAATCAGATGAACCTTAGTCCTCAAACTGACAGTGTTACTTCTCAGTATAATTAGGAGAGGTCCCTGATTGCAATCAATAATGTCTTTTGATTTCCTAACTGCTGTTACCAAGGGTGTTGATTGTAGATCAGAGTAAGATGAAGTTGTCAGTTTCCATGATTGATAGAGTAACTGGGGCAATGGAGGTTGCAGTGTCAGAATCAGTGACACTAGATCAGGACAGTGAAGTCTTCAGAGCTGCTATACTTATGGTCGCTATGCCTTGCAGGCAACTTGACAGTACATAATAGCATCAATAATCATAATATTGTTTTTAGATCTAGTGGTAAGAATTTTTGTTTTCTTGACATTGAGATGCAATCCATATGGAAGGCTGTTTTCTTCTGCAACAGGTACTTCAAGTCCTTATTTTCAGTAAGCAAGATTATGTTATGTGCATAATCCAGGTTATTGATGAGTCTTCCTCTGATCTTGATTCCACATTCATCGAGTCCAGCTTCTTGAATAATTTGTTCAGCATACAGATTGAATAGATAGGGAAAGAGAATACAACTCTGATGCAGTCTCTTTAATTTTAAACCATTTAGTGTTCCCTTCCTTTGTCCACACAACAGCCTCTTAGTCTAGGTATAGGTTTTCCATAAGCACTATTAAGTGTTCTGGGATTCCCATTCTTCTCACTGTTGGTCATAACTTGTTATGATCCACATAGTCAAATGCCTACAAGGATGCCCAAAAGAACAAACAGATCTGTCCTGGAGGAAGTGCAATCAGGATACTCATTAGAGACAAGGATGTTAAACTTCAGATGTGTCCTCCAAAAGGGCCAGTCTTTGGAAAAAGATACTGTGCTGGGAAAGGTCAGAAAGAGAGGAAGACTCTCAACAACGTGAGTAGACATAGACTATAATGGGTTCATATTGTTAACTGTTGATTATATTTTTTCTGTTGTGATTATGATTTGCTTGTTGATTTGCAGAGTGATTTGATTTTCTTAAGCTTCAGTTTGAACTTGCATATGAATAGTTCATAGTCTGTTCCATCTACAGTCAGCACCTTGCCTAGTTTTCACAGCTGATATTGAGCTTCTCCAACAATTTTTCCCACAGATATAATCAATCTGATTCCTGTGTAGGCCCTCAAGTGAAGTTTATGTGTATAATCACTGCTTGCATTTCTTATAAATGTATTTGTAATGAATCAGTCATTGTTTGCATAGAATTTTATCATTCTGTCTCCAGCCTCATTTCTATCACCAAGTCCATGTTTCCCAACTACTGATACTCCTTCCCTCTTCTCAACTTTTGTATTGGAGTCACTCATTATTAATGCATCTTGGTTGTGTGTTCGATAGATTTCCAACTGCAACAGTTGGTAGAAGTCATCTATTTCTACCTCTTTGCCTCTGACTTTTGGTACATAAATTTGAATTTTAGTGAAATTAATAGGTCCTACTTGTATGTGTATGGATATTATCCTGTCACTTAAATACAACATTGTATTTCAAGATGGATCCAAAAATGGTCTTTTTAAATACAAATGAGACCCCATTTTCCTTACTGTAGTATTGAACATACCATGGACTGGTAAGAGAACAAACAGGTGTGTCCTGGAGAAGGTGAAACCAAGCTGCTCCTCGAACACAAGGATTTTGAAGCTCCACAGTCTTACATACTTTGGGCATGTTGCTAGGTGGAACCAGTCCTTGGAGAAGGACATCACGCTTGGAAGGATGGAGGAACAGCCCAAGAGAGGAGAACCTTGGATGAGATAGATTGACTCAGTAACTGGGGTAATGGAGGGGTAGGTGTACTGGAAAAAATGAAACTGGGTCAAGATACGGCAGAGTTCAGAGCTATTGTGTATAGGGTAAGTTGAATATATTGTGCATAGGGTGAGTTTCAGGTGACTGGAGTGCACATATACCCGACAATAAGCAGAGTGATTTAAATTGTATCCTGTACATTTTGGTTGTTATGGTTGGTGACAAAATTTCAAGTAGTTTCCGAGTTTTTATTTAATGTCTTATTCTTAGTTTGTTGTTCTTATGTGCTTTGAGTAGGGTACAATCATAGGGACAATGACCTACAGTTCTCAAACTTGTCCTTTCCTGTGCTATCCTCATCATCTCCATCAAAACACTCAAGCCTTTGCTGCCATCATTGGGACAGTTCGTTTTGTTGAGGTTCTTTTGCTGACCCTCCACTCCTCTAAGTGTAATGTCCCTTTCTAAAGAATATAGCTCCTTATTATAACATGTCCAGAGTATATAAAATAAGCTTCACCATGCTTGCATCCAAGGAGCAATCTGACCACATTTTTTCTAAGATGTGTGTATTATTTTTACAGTACATGAGATATTCGGTCCTCTTCTCTAACACCACAACTCAAAAGGCATCGATTATTCCTCTGTCATCCTTGTATGTTCATTGTCCAGCTTTCAGATGCCTAGCTAGTGATTGGAAAGACCATGGCTAGGATCAGGTGCATTTTAGTGTTTGAACAGACATTATTGCTCTAGTAATTTGGAGACCTCACTGATAGCAGGCTTCCATGGCGACACGTTTTTTTATTTCTTGGATTCTGGTGCCGGGGATGTTTATTGTGGATCCCAGTAAGAAGAAATTATTTACAATTTATTCCTCTATCATGATGTTAATTAACAGTCCATCAGAGTGAGGATTTTTTATATTCTTGTTGTTGGGGTGTAATCCATATTGAAGTTCTCCTCACCTTCAGCAAGCAAGGTTTTGTCATATGCATAATGTGAGGTGGCTTTTCTAGCTTAGTGGATTTAATGACAGTTTGATTTTCAATGTGCTTGCAATGGTATTTTGGTCTGCTTTATTTTCTGAGGCTTTAGGGTTCTTTCTTTGTTCTTGTTGGTGCCTGCTGGGATGATTGGAAAGCATATTCCTTGACCTACGTAATATCAAGAATTGGGGTCAAAAGCTCCTGTGCCTACATCTCCATGTGCTATGAACTGACTGACAAGATTGATACAGGCCTACTACTGACTCTGCCCCTGATGTCTGTCACATTGATTATTTTTGCTTTGGTTGTGAAATATAGGCTGGGATGGCCTAGGTTGTCATTATTGCCAGTGGATCAGAATAACACTTTGGCATATGATATTGGAACTGAGGAAGTAAAAAAATTCACTGCTGCTAGTGGCTTGGACTGCCTGCCATCCTTGGTTGTGAATTGAGTGGGAATCAGGTTGTTCCAGAGAGTAGGTTAATCTAGTGCTTTACTCCTCTGTTTCAGCCAGTCCATAGAACTTGTGAAGTAAGTGCTGAAATGGCTCAGAATTCGTTGTTCTGCCATTGTGGGTGGACTGGAATTTCAGCTAGTCTGTGTTAAAGAGCTGTTGTTGAACACTAGGGGTGTGTGTGTGTGTGTGTGTGTGTGTTTGAATGTTTATGGGGGGCAGCAGTGATGGATGTCTGTTTTGGTTTCTTCTGCTCTTATTGATAGTTGATGATGGTTCTAGTTGCAGACTTCTCTGGTTGCCTTCAAAAGAAGGTAAGGCATCTCATGGCAGATTTTATGGGAGAAGGAAAGAAAACCCTACTTAACCCTCTTGTAATGCTATAAATTTGAGGTTCCTATCCAGATTCTAGAGTTCTTTTGGTTTCTAAAGTCCTGTTATAATTGTGAATGGTTTTCAGGACACACATTTGCAATTAGAAGGGAAGAGTAAACTCTATAATCTGGTTTTAGAACCAGAATACCATTTTTGGTTTTATTTAAATTTTAATCTTTGCTTTTTAAAAAAGTATGGATCAGTGTATCTACTACTTAGGCTTAAGGGAGTACACACACATAGGTGTGTATGTATTTAAATATTATTAAGTGCCATCAAGTTTATGACTCATAGTGACTCTGAACAGCTTATCTGAACTTTGCCTTGTCTTGTGTCATTCTCATGATCTCTGTTTTGCTCAATCCCGTTGTGATAGTCAGTTGTGTCAATCCATCTCTTTGAAGGTCTTCCTCTCTTGCTCTGACCATCTACTTTTACCAGTATATCTCTCTCCAAAGACTGATTCCTCCTGAAAATATGCCCAGAGTTAAGTGGTAAATTTTACCATCTTTGCCTCTAATGAGCATGCTGGTTTTACTTCCTTTGGAAAAAATTTGCTTGTACTTTTGACAATCCATGTGGTAGTCAATATTCTTCACCACCACCAAAATTCAAATATTATAAATATCTGTATGTATGTAAGGGTACTCATGTAGTACCCTATTGTACCTATTCTTGGCCTAAGGAAAGAGTTATCAGTTTTATTTTAAAACATTAGACCGAATTGACCAAATATATGCCCATTTTATTAATTTACGTTTTTCTGAAGTATTTCTATATTTTAATTAAAGATCTTTGGTTCCAGTTTTAATGGATTGTACATAAGTTAATGTAAACTTCTGATTAAATTATTACTAATTTTTTTAAGAGCACATTTGAATCTAGAGGAAATTAGGCTGAGTGACATAAGTCAGTCACAGGAAGACTGTTACAGTACATGGCCACTATTATAAAAAGCTAAGGAAAAGTTTATACCCAGATAGAGTCTCTCTTGGAAGGTTACCAGGGATGAGAAAGGAGGGAAGTAAAAATTAAAAAAAATTAAAAAATAGTTTTGTTGGGTGAAGGAATATAAAGTAAGGATTTATCTGACATTGTAATTAATTATATAAATGATAATTAATGCTGTAAAACAAAATATGTATAAATGAAAAACCAGTATGTTTGTAAACTCTCAAAACACGTTGATAATTATCTTTATGTAATTTTTTTCCAGTTCAGACTGATAAAGTTTTTCAGGAAGTTGTAGCAACTGATGTGGATTCTGAAAATACGTCTGACTTGAAAAAGGTGTCAAATAAAAAACTAAATGTCCAACACAACAAAGCTGATGAAGAATTTTACCTCTCTGTTCGCTCTTCAGCTGTCGATTTGGAGGCAAATACATCTTTATCAAAAAATGTTGTTCCATCTGTTTCCCAAAAAGGAGAGACTTACACTTTTGAAAATTCAGTAAACATGCAATCTCCTAATACAAAGATTTCTTATAAAATAAAGAAAAGGTAAACTTTTAAAATAATATTTCTCTTTTATGTTAAAGAGTGGATAAGTAAGATTTTCAATGTCTTTTTATAGTAAGGATTAAGGAATTTTAAACTGCTGTGAGAGGACTGTAGTATACATTCAGTATATATTCAGTTCGTATTTATTAAGGCCATAGAAAGTACTTAAGAGAAGTTTGGAGGTAAAATTTTTTGTAGACTGTTGAAAAATGTATTTTCTTATAATAAGCTTGTAATAGCTTTCAAAGAATTAATTTGTGCTTCCTGTATATTATTTGTGATTGTGTATGTAAGTATGATTTAGGTCAGTTTCTGGGTAGCACAGCAAGTGTTATTGAGGATGAACCCAGAATTATATCTTGTGATTTTCTCTTTGAATTTACCAAAACAGATCTTTTATTACTGGAAACTTTGCTGAATGATTTCAGTTTAGATTCTAGTTATGATTCCTGGATCCATTAAGGATATTAAAAAACATTACTGTTCAAAACAATGTCTGCAACTGTCGATTAAGAGCAGTGGCACTGTTAGAGACTTGATAGTTTTGTAGAATCTCAAACCTAACCTTAGATCTACTGACTCAGAATCTGCATTTTAGTAATATTCTGTAGATATTTCAAATTCACATTAAATGTTGGACACCAGAGCTTTAAGTTGCACCATTCCTTTTTTTAGTGTTAAGATCTAATTTAAGTGTTCTTTTCTATTTTATTTCTTTCTGTAGGCAAAAACATAAAGCGGTTTTTTTCTGAGCATTTTTTTGTGTTAAGTATATTGTGTAAGGTTTACAAATTGAAAAATTAAAGAAATTGTCTCTATATTGGGAAGTTAGGAAATTTAGCAAGATTCAAAAGTCAAAAAACTTTGTGAAACCATTAGCTTAATTTCCTTTTTCCCCCCTTCCATTGTTGACTCACAGGCTTTATTCACAGTTGGGGATTTATTAGGGAAATAAATTGGAGAGTGGGGGAGGAAAAGAATATCACCCAATGCAAGGCCAGGTTTATTCTAGCAGTCTCAAGCCAGATTAACAAGGCACATTTACTCAACTAGGAAAGTCCAGGTTTAGTGCTATAGCAAAAACACAAGAAGTCTCTGGTTTCCTTAGTCATCCAGCAAACATTGTCTCAGAGCAGTTATAAGTCAGCTTAATTTCCTTTTAATCTTTTAACATATAGGCTAAACTTTGAAGATAAAGTCATTTTGAAGAAAGTGGAAAAAGAAGATAATGTGTCAGTAGAACCATCAGGAAGGAAACCATCAGGAACATTTCAGAAAAGAACTAAAAATTCAGAAATTGAATTTCAACCACAAGCTAAAAAGAGTTTTTCAACATTGTTTATAGAGACTGTACAAAGACAAAATGAGTCTAGGTAAGTTGTTAAGAAACTCTTCTTTGAGATCTTAGTCTTTTCTAATTCTCTAAACAGTGTCTGGGGATTTATCACACCAGTATATCTGACTTAAGTTTTTAAAATTGTTTTACTGGACCACAAATAAGACAGCTTACTTGTGGTGAACTTTTGCCTGATTAGTAAGGAGTATGCAGTTTCTTGTCGGTGAGTCATCTGAAAAGATAACCTTTCATTTACTAGGTACTAGGAGATCCCTGCATGATGCCACTAGTTAATGCACTCAGTTGCTAACTAAAAGTTAGGCTAAAAATTGGAGTTCATCTAGAGGTACCTTGGAAGAAAGGCCTGGTAATCTAAAGCTCTTGCCATTATAAACTCATGATAAAACACAATTCTATTCTGACACTCATGAAATTATCATGATTAGATGACCTTTTTTAAATTAAAAAATCTAAATTAAATTAAAAAACTAGATTGAAATAAAATGAGTTTGAGTTTGTTTCTGTGACACATAACAATGAAGGCAGCAATTAGAAAAATTATATCAGGGTGCCTGTATTTCACACGTACAGGTTTTAATTCTTTTTTTAAAACTCTGAATCTTATGATTTTGCCAAAATGAGCTAAGTGGGACCCCATAGCAACTGAGCTGATTCCAATTCATAGCAATCCTATAAGAGAGCTACCCCACAGGATTTTCAAAGCTGAAGAACTTTATGGAAAAAATCATATTTTTCCTGTAAAGATTTTCCAACAATCTACAGTATTCCTGCATTGATTCTTAGCCATGACTGTACATTAACATTACTTAGAATTAGTGACCACTAAGGTTAAGGGGTGCTACTAAGCTTCAAATTTGTCAACTCGTGGATTTTTCCATAGAAATACAAGAGAGGAACAGTTTTGGAGAGTTCTGGTTGCCTGGAGTTTGGAAAAGTTTGTTGTTGTTATTGTTATGTGCCTTTGAGTTGTCTGTGACCCATAGCAATCCTATGCACAGCAGCTCTGAACCTTGTCCGGTCCTGAGTCAGTCTCACTAATTCTGACACCCCCATTGCCCCAGTTACTGTATCAATCTATCTCATCCGGGGACTTCCTCTCCTGCCCTGTACCTCCACACTTCCAAGCATGATATTCTTCTCCACAGATGATCTTTCCTGGCCACATGCCCAAAGTATGTGAGACAGAGCGTCAAAATCCTAACCTTCAAGGAGAAACTTGGTTTTACCCTCTCCAAGACAGACCTATTTATTTTCTTGGCAGTCAGTGGTATGTTCAAGACTCATCTCCAGCATCACAATTCGAAGGCATCGATTCTTCTTCTGTTGTCCTTAGTCATTGTCTATCTCTTTGATGCACATCAAGTAATTGTGAAGACCATGGCCTGGATTGGGCACACCTTAGTCTCCAGATTGACATTGTTGCTTTTCAGTACTTTGGAGTGGTCCCTGATAGCAAATTTTCCCAATGCAATTTGTCTTGATTTCCTGACTGCTGGTGGTTAACAGTGTTGATTGTATGTGGAGCTGAGCAAGCTGTAATTGTTAACTACATCAATCTCTTCTCCATCTTTTATGGTGCTGCCAGTTAGCCCAGTGATGAGAATCTTTGTCTTGATGTTGAGCTTCAATCCATATTGAAGACTACAGTCCTTGACTTTTCTGCAGCAAGCGCTTCAGGTCTTCTTTAGTTTCAGCAAACAAGTTTGTATCATCTGCATAATGCAGGTTGTTGATGAATATTCCTCTAATCCTGATGCCACACCCCTCCTAATAAATCTCTGCTTCCCGAATGATCTGTTCTTCATATAGATTGAAAAAGTATGTAGACAGGATGCATCCCTGAGGAACTTTTTTTACTGATTTTGAACCATTCAGGGTTTCCCTGCTCTGTTCTGAGGCCTGCTTCCTGTTACAAGCATAGGTTCTCAAGGTTAGCCACAATTTGTTGTGATTCACACAGTCAAATGCCTTTGCATAGTCAACAAAACACATATGGACATTCCTCTGGTACTCTGCTTTCTGCCAAGATCCATCAGACATTGGCAATAATGTTTCTAGTGCCACTACCTCTTTTAAACCCAGTTTGTATTTCTGGTAGTTCTCTGACAATGTACTGTTTCAGTCATTTCTGGATAAGCTTCAGAAGGATTTTGCTAGTGTGTGATACTAGTGATATTGTAAGGTAATTTCCATACTCTGTCGGGCCACCTTTTTTTGGAATGGGAATAGATATGGATCTCTTCTAATCAGTTTGTCAAGTATTTGTCCTCTAGACTTCTTGGCACAACTTGGAAAAGTTTGGGAAGGCTTGATTTTGAAATCTTAGCTTTTCTTTAGAGAACCAGTGGATAATACTAATAATACACAGTAAAGCAAAGAGATCTATTTATAATATTTTGGCTTTTTAAAAAGTGAAGAAGAGTATTTCTGTATTTAAATTAGTTTATGTTGATTTCTTTGCTTGTTTACCTCTGGAAAATAAACATTAAGACATTTATGGAGCACAATTCTACACAGATACAGATAAAGTTTGCCATGCATCAAAGTTGACTTGATAGCAACTGGATATATGAACTTTGTTCTTTGTTTTCGTTGAGACATTTCCTAACTATATAAACTTAAAACATTTTACCTGTTAGAAGAGGTGTGCTTATTGACATATTTTGCACATTATAGAACCTATCACTACAGAAATAAATAAATTTCATTTCATAATTTTTTATATCTTAATGAAAAAATTAGATGTGAAAATGAAAACTGTTCTAGACTTGCTTCTTATATGAATGTCTTAATTTTTTTAAAACCGGTTTGAACATATTCTTTTTTTAAAAAAAAATTTCCATTCATTCATTGTTACACATTTTCCTCCCTGTCCCCCTCGTCCCCAGTTTGCTTTTTCCTTTGGGGAAAAAGTTCTTTCATTGTTATATAGTCCCCCCCAGCCCTGGACCACTTTACTATGTAACTGTTATTCTGGACTCTTGTCATGCCAATAATATCTAATCATATGTTCCTTTTTAATACAGTTTTCTCCCTTGTCTGTTTCAGTGCTGTGTACATTATTTCTCCCCTCATTTTTTTAGATTCTCCCTAACCACCATATCAGTCCTGTGTTATAACAGTTACATTATACAGTATTTATCTTTTTTGGGACAGATATTTCACTCATCTTAATGTCTTCCATGGTCACCCATTTTGTATAATATTTCATGAGTTCATTGTTTTTCAGTGCTGCATAATATTCCATTGTGTGAATATACCACAACTTCTCTAGGCATTCATTTGTTGATGGGCACTTGGGCTGTTTCCAGCTCTTTCCTATTGTGAACAACACAGCAGTAAACATGGGTGTGCATATATCTGCTTTGGTGGCAGTTCTGATTTCTTTAGGGTATATTCCCAGTAGTGGAATTGCTGGGTCAAATGGTATTTCTTTTTCCAACTTTTTGAGAAAACGCCATACTGCCTTCCATAGTGGTTGCACCATTTTACACTCCCGCTAACAGTGATAAGGGTTCCCGTTTCTCTGCAACCTTGCCAGAATTTGTTGTTTGTTGTTCTGTTAAATTTTGCTCTTTTTATTGGTATAAAATGATATCTCATAGTTGTTTTGATTTGCTTCTCTCTTAGAGCTAGAGATTTTGAACATTTCTTCATGTGTTTATTCACCATCAGAATGTCTTTGGTGAAGTGTCTGTTCATATCCTGTGCCCATTTTGCAAATGGGTTTTTTACCTTTATCTTGTTGTGGTGCTCGAGTATTCTATAAATTCTAGATATGAGTCCTGTATCAGACATGTCATTACCAAATATTCTTTCCCTGTCTGTGGCTTTCCTTTTTTACCCTGTTGGAGAAGGTTTTGGATGTGTATAGGGATTTTATTTTTAGAAGGTCCCATTCATCTATTTTATCCTCTCCTGGTTATAGGGAAATTCTTAATTTTTAATTTCTTGCTTCAATATATAATTTGCTCAAGGATGTTACATTAAAAATCAGGGAAATTGAAAATTAGATCATCATATTATCATCCTTTGACTCATTCCTTTCTCTAGAAAGTTTTCCCAAGTAATTTGAAACTATCTTGTGTAACACCAGTGTGCTCTTGTTAGGAGCTGTTGCCTCTGACTTATAATGACTCATGGGTGCAACAGTTCAAAACCAGACCCTTATCCTGTGCCATCCTAACAAATGCTGCTGTGCTTAACTCCCATTGTGGTTGTCATTGTGCTCCCTACTTCTAAATCATCTACTTTTCCAAGCATAGTGTCCTTTTCCAAGGACTGGCCATTCCTGGTAACATAGCCAAAGTATGTGGGATGAAGCCTTAAGAATCTTTGTCTCAGGGAGTGCTGGTGGCCTAGTGGCAAGAACCTGCACCACAATCCCAGAGGTGGTTGTTGTTGTTAGGGGCCACCGAATCCCTTGCGACTCATAGTGACCCTATGTACAACAGCTCTAAACGCCATTCTATTCTGTGCCAACCTAGCCATCTCAAACGCACTCATTCCTACCACTCCAGTCACAGAATCGATCCACCTCATCGAAGGTTTTCCTCTCCTTCGCCGCCCCTCCTCTCTGCCAAACGTGATGTCCCTCTCCAAGGACCAGTCCCTCCTTGCAATATGCCCAAAGTATGTCAGACGAAGCTTCAGAATCCTTGACTCCAAGGAGCATTCCGGCTTCACCTTCTCCAGAACAAACCTGTTTGTTCTCTTAGCAGTCCATGGTATATTCAACCCTCTTCTCCAGCATCAAAGCTCAGATGCATCAATTCTATTTCTATCAACCCTATTCACTGTCCAACTCTCTGACACATAGCATGTAATTGCAAAGACTATAGCCTGGGTCAGACACACCTTAGTCTCCAGCTTGAGGTCGTTGCACTTCAGTACTCTTGAGAGGTCCCTCACAGGTGACTTTCCCAATGCAATTTGTCTCTTGATTTCTTGGCTGCTGTTACTAAGAGTGTTGACTGTGGAGCCAAGAGGTTCACGGTTCAAATCTACCAGATGCTCTGCTGAAGAAGGAGGGGCAGTCTCCTCCTGTACTAATCAGATCCAATTTGACAGTACACACACACAAGATAATAAAGTAAAAATTTTTTTTTAAAAAAAAGAATCTGTGTCTCTAAGGAGCACTTTGACTATACTTCTTCCAAGACTAATCTTTTGACAGTCTATATATAGCTTTACTTTTTTACCTTTGTTTGTACTACATATATGAATCACTTTGAATGTACTTATGTACATTCTTGTATGAATATTTAATGATTAATATTGATGCTAGTTTATTAAACCACAGAATTATACTTGTAATTATCTGTCTTATTTTTGTCACTTGCTGCCCATTCAGTTCCAACTCATGGTGAATCCATGTTTAAGAGAAGAACTGCTATATAGGATTATCAAGACTGTAACATTTCAGAAACATCTTTTGGCCTGTCTTGCCAGGTGCATTTAACTTAATTTAAGCTACCAATCTTTTGACTAGATGTTAGGTGCTGTAGAGTTGAGTATGACTCATAGTAATCCTATGAATAACTGAATACCTTCATATACTGAGCCATCCTCACTATCCAATAAATACACTTGAGCGCATTGCTGCAGTCACTATGTCAATCCAACTCGATGAGAGTCTTCCTCTCTTTTTTGACCCTCTACTCTTCTAAGCATGATTTTCTTTTCCAAGGAATAGCTTCTCCCAGGAACATATCCAAAGTATGAGAGATGAAGCTTTGTCATCCTTGCCTTCAAGGAGCTCTCCGACTGCATCCTTTCCAAGACATACCCGTTTGTTCTTATGGCAGTCCATGGGATATTCAGTACTTTTCTCCAACACCACAGCTCAAAATGCATCAGTCCTTCCTTTTATCATCCGTATTCATTGTCCAGATCTTAGCAAGTAATTAAAAAGATCACAGCTTGAGTCAGGTGTACCTTAGTCTTCAAACTGACATCATTATTCTTCACTATTTTGGAGAGATATCTGCCAGCAGACTTGACCAAAGCAATATGTCTCCTTGTCTTCTGACTGTTGGTACGAAGGGTGCTGATTGTGGATCTAAGCAAGACATAATCATTAATAATTTCAATCCTTTTTCCATCTATCATGATGTAGCCCACTGGCCCAGTGGTAAGGACCTTTGTCTTGATAAGATGTAATCCATTTTGAAGGATCTTATGCAGCAAGCACTTCAGGTCACCTTTGCTTTTAGCAAGCAAGGTTGTGTCATCTTTATAGCACATGCTGTTTATGAGTCTTTCTCTGATCCTAATGGCACATTCTTCTTCCTAGAGTCTGGCTTTCTGAGTTCTTTGCTTAGCATATAGATTAGTTATGGAGAAAGGATATATTGCTGATGTACAGCCTTCCTGATTTTAAACCATACTGTGTTTCCTTTGTTCCATTCCAATAACAGCTTCTTGGACTAGGTATAGATTTCATATGAGCACAGTTAAGTGTTCTGGGTTTTACATTCTTCTCATTTGTCGTGACCCACACAGTCCTTTGTATAGTCAATAAAACACAGACATTCTTCTGATATTTTCTGCTTTCAGCCAGAATCCATCTGACATCTGCATTCGTATCCATTGTGCTATGACCTCTCCTAAATCCAGTTTGAATTTCTGGCAGTTCCTGGTCAAGTGACTGTTTCAGTAGTTTTTGGATGATCTTCAGCAGTATTTTGCTTGTATATGATATTTATGACATTGCTCTATAAATTTCATATCACTAGATCACTTTTTTTAGGTAATGAGAACAAATATGGATCTCTTCTAGTTAGTCAGCTATCCAAATTTCCTTGCGCAGACTGGTAGCACATCTAAGGTTGCATCTGTTAGTTGAAAAATGTCATACAGTATCTCTTCTATTCCTGCACTGTTATTTTTTGCCAGGGTCTTCAGAACAGCTTGAACTTCATCCTTTGTTACTGTTATCTCTTAGTCTTATGGAACTTCCTGAAATTTTTCAATGTCAACCACTTCCTTTGGTACAGTAGTGGCTTTGTGTATTCCTTCCATCTTCTTTTAGTGTTTGTTGGATCATTGAAGATTTTGCCCATTCAGTATTAATGATTTGATGGCAGTGAGGAGTAGTAGGGGAATCCTTAACTATTTTATTGTTTTAGGTTTGTAAAATAATGATAATATTCATGAGTTAAGTTTTCTATTTTCTAGGGAAAGAAGGTTAGGGAGGGGAGAGGGTTAGAGTGGAAAAACATGTGACTTCAGTATAACAGGTTCTGTGTCATTGTATGCTTAGTAGTAAGAATTACACCCACACCCCCCTTCCCTCCCCCATCTTCTGTGGTACTAGATTTGTTTTGTTCTTGTTGCTATCTTTTTAGATACACTATTAAGTTCTGTACCATGATTGCTATGTTAAAACATCTATGAAAATATGTGTAAAATATGCTACTTCAAAGGAATTTTTTTATTATGAAGAAGCCCTAATGATACCTTGGTAAAAGTACTTAGGTGTCAACTGAAAGGTCAAACCCACCAGCTGCTCTGAGAGAAAAGTATGGCAGCAGGCCAAGAATATACTGTGTAAAGAATACAACCTTGGAACCCTGTGGTGCAGGCACTTCTACTCTGTCTTTAGGGATCACTATGAATTGAAATAGACTCAGTGATAGTGGTTTTTATTTTTGTGTTTTTAATAATTTAGTGATACACATTTATATATAACTTTCACTTAGTATTTTTTCTTTTTTTGTGCTCCTATGTTTTAAGATTGACAAAACACAACTAATTGCTGTTGATTCAGTTTTGACTCAGTGGTGATCCATGTGTCACAGTGCAGCACTGCTGTGCCCTATGAGTTTTCATGCCTGTGACCTTTTAGCAGGAGATTGCCAGCTCTTTCTATTCCAGCTTACCTATGTGCGTAGCCTTTTATAGTACCCAGGGAATATAAAAAAAATTATAATTTAGTAGTGGTAAGCAGCTATGCTGTCAACATAAGACACACAGTTCAAATCCACTGTCTGTCTGTTCATTGGGAGAAAGATAGACAGTCTCCTCCTGAGCTGTTTACAGCTTCTGAAAATCTCCTGGAGTATCAGCTATGAGTCGGTTCCAACTCTTGCCACATAACATGTGTTTGATTAAGATACCCCATGTCTCCCTAGGTCTCCTGTTGTTGTGTACCAGAGTCAGAACTGGCCCATAGCTAACCCTGCAGTGGGTTTTCAGAGGCAGTAAGGCAGTAATTGGATGGGAGGAGATTGCCCATCCTTCTCTCAGGCTGCAGCTGGTGGCCTTGAACCACAACCATTGAGTCACCTAGGAAACCTTGTGGGGCAGTTCTAGTCTGATATATATATATATATATATTTTGGTTCTATAAATTTTTTATAAGTTGGAGTTAATCACACTCACCAAGCAATAGATTTCCTTCTGAGTTCAAGATTTTGTGGTCCCATTAGAATTACATAAGGAGTGCTAGTGGTATAGACCATTGGGAGTTATGCTGCTAACCTAAAGGTCAATTAAAATCCACCAACAGCTCAAAGGGAGAAAGATGAAAAAGCTCATGTGTATTTACAGACTCGGAACCCCAGTGGAGAGATTTTGACCCCTCTGCAATGAGAGAGAGTGAGAGATTAGTGTTTGGAAGAGATGACTCTGTGCTATAAAAATTTCAAGAAAGACAGATTTTTATTTTAGGAGTAAGGAAAAATTAAGAAGACATTAAAACTGCTCTTTAAAATACATTCAGGTTATTTTAATTTTCCATGTAGATAATTTAATTTCTTTACTATGCATAGAAAAAAACCTTTTGCTGCTGCTTTTATTTTTGTTAACATTTTTTATTTATTGTAATATACTTCTAGTTCTGTTACTAGGCATGTAACAACCGCTCCACTTCATTCTTCTTCTCCAAATGGTGTGAAGTTGCTAGAGGATGAATTTATAATTGATGAGTCAAAGACAAGTTTTGCTCATCAGTCTTGGATTAAGATACCAAGAAAGGTAAAACCTTCAAAACAATGCCCAGTATCTCCTGTTCGCCTGCAAGGAAGAGAATCAGTAGAAAAACATCACAGTACAACTTCTGAGATATTGACAAGTAACACACATTCCAATGAGACTCATCCAGTAGAGAAATCTCATGTCTCCAAAGAGGGGAAACTGGGTAGATCTTGTGCCTCAACAGATAAACTGGAGAATAATTGTAAGCCTGTAAATGATACCATGTATCCTCAGAGTACAGAAGCATCATCCGAGATTAAAAGGACTATACAACAAAAGCGAAAAAGAAAAATTAACAGCAACGCAGTTGAAGAAGAACTTAATATGGAACAACCTAAAGATAAAAATAGAAATATATCACCAACTGCTGATGCGAAGTTAGGGGGAGAGTTGGACAAAAATGTAGAACTGTGTGAAGAAATTAGGAATCCTATTTCAAAGAAACAGATGACACATGTGGGTAAGTATTTATATTAAATATAAACATTATTATAAATTATTATAAACATTAGTGCAAAAACCCTACCTTTCTGTAATATCTTTGTTAAGGTTTGAGAAGTAGACAAAGTAAATGCCTATCTCCTCAGAAGCCTATAGGCTCTTTTCTACAATTATTTTACTTTTTTTATATAAAATTTTATTTCAACTCTCTTGATTTCCATTTATTTAACTCTCAAAGTATCAGTATAGGTAAAGAGGAAAGAAAAGAGCTAGTACATGAGTTACTTGATAGAACATTACTAAGCAGGATCATACATTCCTGAGGTTTAATGAAAATACAAATTAGAGGTGGGGAGGAAACCAAAATAGTTTGGAGGCTGTTGTTTTTATGGGGGAAAAAGTCTGTACTCTACTACTTAGTAATTTGCTTATAGCTCTCATATCTTAGTGGGTAATGAGTAGCGTTCCAAACCCAAATGCAGGAAGTTTGAATTCACCAGCTCCTCCAAAGGAGAAAACAGTCTACTTTTATGGAATTTATAGTTTCTGAAAACCCTCTTGAAGTCAAGTCAGTGTTACTTTCTTACCATCCACACACAGTATTGCCTACCAAGGACACTGTTTCTGTTGGGGCTCCATTATGTAGATGTGATTATTTAGTTGATAGCTCAATTCCAATCTTTTGGTCAACTATGTAGCATGAGAAAGCTTTCACATGAAATCATGTTTTTGGTGTAGCCAACTCTTACCCTAAATGGTATTGTTGTAGACTATATTGAGTGACCCAAGCAAATAAAGACTTTTCATTTCTGTAGGATTGTGTATATAATTTACCATTGTTGCTTTTTATGCTTGTGTTCCTCTGAATATCTTCTTTTACCTTGCTCATGTTTTACTGTTTCCCCCCCTTATTGTATGTTTCCTTTCCCTTTAAGTTAATACATTTCTATTATCCCTTTAAGTTAATACATTTCTATTATCTAGATAGTAATATTTCCTCCCTCCCTTTCCCAGTCCTGGTAAAGATCAGAGAATGTTTCTTTCTGTGTAGAAACCTTTTATTTAATTTTTATTTTAATGTTTTCATACAATATTTGTCTTATGGTGATTTGCTAATTTCTTTCAGCATAATGAACCCCAGGATCTCCCATTGCCAGTTCATTGCTATTTTTTAATGTGTGTAATATATTATTGGACCTTTAGGATGTTTTCATCTCTTTGCTATTTTGAAATGCTATGTTGAACATAACCAAACCAAGTGCTATGTTGAACCAAACCCAAATGCAGACCTAAACCCAAACCCACTGCTGACTCATATTTAATATCCATTGGGTTTCTGAGACTGTAAATCTTCATTGGAAAAAACTGTCCATTTCTCCCACAGAGCTACTGGTGGATTTGAACCAAAGATCTTTTGTTTAGTACAATGCATGATGCACTTCCCTACTAGAACTTCTTACAGAGAACTTGGATATGCACAGATCTGTCCAGAGAGACATCACTTTTGGATTAGCAGTGCAACTCCTATGGCTATGCTGTCAGTTATCATTCTTTAGGGTTGTATTAGACTCTGTATTGTCAACACACCATGGTTTCTTTAGCCATAGGGCATAAAAACACAGAGCAAAGGAGACATTCAGGTGACCAAGAAACACAAAGAAGTGCTCAAGATCATTAGCTTTTTGTTGTTGTTATGTGTTGTCGAGTCTACTAGGACTCATAACAACCCTACAAACACTGGCTCTGAACCTACCTCACTGTCCAACACTTACCCCCATTGACATGGTTATTGTGTCATTCCGTCTCATCCAGGATCTCCCTCTTCAGTGCTGAAACTCTACCCTTCCAAGCTTGATGTCCTCCTCCAAGGACTGGCCTCTCCTAATGCAGTCCTTGTTGTAAATCATAATAAACAAATAACATCTTACCACAGCTGCAGTAGCAAGAAAGCAAAAAATAAATCTAGTGAGAATGTGGAACAGTTGTAACTCATACATTATAGAAAGCACTTTAGTGATTCTTTAGAAAGTTGAGAATAGAAATAGTAAGGGCTGTGTGAGGATGGCTATATCTGATCTCTACTAATGCCACAAAGGTAAACTGTCCTCTTCAACAGCATCCACACCACAAAACCAATTCCCATGAGGTCAGACATGTCCCACATACTCCTGCACTTCTTTCTACAAATTCCAATACCAATCTTACAGCTTTACTTGGTTCAAAATCTGTTGCAGTAGCTCACAGAGCACACAGAACCATACTCATGATTATGAGGTTTATTAGAGACGTTGTTGTTATGTACCATCGAGTCATCTGCTGCAATTCATAGTGATCCTGTGTACAACATCTCTTAAGCCTGCCCTGTCCTGACCCAGTCTCACTGACTCCAATACACCAGCCTCCGTTGCCTCAAGTACTGTATCTGTCCATCTCATCTGGGGCCTTCCTCTCTTGCACCATCCCTCTGCCCTTCCGAACATGATGTCCTTCTCCAAGGACCTGTCCCTCCTGGATACAATTTCATTTGGCATCCGGATACAGTTTTTCAGTCAGGGAAGCTTCCAAAGCATGGTCACAGGCCCTTCAGCCATCAGTCTCATGGCTTCTCGCCAGTGTTACAAAGCTCTTAGTCCTGCTAATTATAGCTCACCGTCTAGTCCTCCAGCAACCTTGGGAAAAAGCTTCTAGCTCTGGTTTTGTGAAGTAACAATCCCATGTTCAACTCTGTTTCATATCAAGTCTCTGGTTTCAGCTTTGGCTGCTGCCCTCATGTAGGTCTGGCGGCAAACAAATCTCTGAAGAACTTGCTGTATTCTCTTCTTGCTGATGGTGAGAGTCTCCGATCCTGCAGCTGAATCCACTCAGTTTAATGGCAAGACCAGCCAATCCCTTGTGGATGGGCTAACACATCCTATTTACATATCTCACCCATCCAGATGGCAAAGTCAAAGTGACTGGCTAGGGAAACCATATTCTAACTATACACCCTTAACATCACCAAAGTTGAGAACAGAAATACCATTTGATCTAGCAATCCCACAATTAGGTATGTATCCAAAAGGTTAATTTCTAACATGTTAAAGGAGCTCTATTCTGTGCTTTACTATTGCAGATGATATTGTTTAGATTTGCATCAGGATAATGATCATGAACATCTCTTCATGTTTTGTTTGCTGTCTGAATGTTTTCTTTGGTGAAGTATTAGTTCAAAGATTTTGCCCATTTCTAAATTGCATTATCTTTCTGTTGTTGAGATGTTGAAGTATTCTATAAATTGTAGATATTCTTTTGTCAAGTATGTTGTTCGCAATATTTTTTTACTATATGTAGGTTCTCTTATCACTCATTTGAAGATGTCTTTTAATGCGTATAGTTTTTAGTAAGTCCCAGTTGTACATTTTCAATTGTGTTTGTCTAAAAAGAGCAAGGGCTATGTGAAGAAGGCCATATAAATTTCACATGGGCAACTTCCCCCACCATCATCATCCACAACTCAAAACTAATCCCCATGATGTTAGACATATTCCTCATGCTCCCACACCTCTTTCTGCTAATTTCAGTAGCCATTTTACTGCTTATGTGGGTCTAAAATCCATTACAATAGCTCTGAGAGCACACAGAACCATACTCATGATTATGGGGTTTATTGTTGTTGTTGTTGTTGTTATGTGCCGTCGAGTCACTTGCGACTCATAGCGACCTTATGTACAACAGCCCTAAACTCCGCTCTGTCCTGTGCCAATCGCACTGTCTCTGACACTCCTATTCCAATTATCCCAGTCACCGCATCAATCCACCTCATAGAGGGCCTTCCTCTCCTGCGCTGTCCCTCCACCCTCCCAAGCATGATGTCCCTCTCTAAGGACTGGTCTCTCCTCACAACATGTCCAAAGTTATGTTAGATAGAGCCTCAGAATCCTTGCCTCCAAGGAGCCACCCGGTTTAACCCTTTCCAGGACAAATCTGTTTGTTTTCCTAGCAGTCCATGGTATTCTCAATACTCTTCTCCAGCACCACAGCTCAAAGGCATCAATTCTCCTTCTATCCTCCTTGGTCATTGTCCAAGTCTCTGATGCATAACAAGTGATTGTGAAGACCATAGCCTGTATCAGACGCACCTTAGTCTCCAGAGAGACACCATTGCTCTTCAGTACTTTGGAGAGGTCCCTAACAGCAGACTTTCCCATGGCAATGCGCCTTTTCATTTCCTGGCTGCTGGTGCCAAGACTGTTGACTGTGGAGCCAAGCAAACTAAAGCTGTGTACAATCTCAATCTCTTCACCATCCATCCTGATGCTGCCAATTGGTCCAGTGGTGAGAATCTTTGTCTTCTTGACATTGAGCCTCAATCCATATTGTAGGCTGCAGTCCTTGACACTCTGCAGCAAGCGCTTCAGGTCCGCTTCAGTTTCAGCAAGCAGGGTTGTGTCATCCGCATAACACAGGTTGTTGATAAATCGTCCACCAATCTTGACCCCACATTTCTCCTCATAGAGCCCAGGCTCCCGGATAATCTGTTCTGCATATAGGTTGAAAAGGTATGGAGATAGGATGCATCCCTGGCGTACGCCCTTCCCAATTTTGAACTATTAGGGAAGTCAAAAGGCTGTATAATTCAGGTTAGTAGCTGGATACAGTTTCTTTTGGCATCATGATGCGATTTCTCAGGGCAGCTTCCAAAGCATGCTCACAGGCCTTTGAGCATCCAGCCTTGTGACTATAGGCCTGTGTTACAAAGCTTTTTAGGTGTGTTGCACAGTACTGCCAATTATGGTGTCTACTCCTCCCACCTCCAGGTTCTCCAGCAAACTTGTGTGAAGGCTCCTAGCCCTGGTTCTATGGGATAGCAGTCCGAAGATCAGGTCTGTCTCACGTAAGGTTTCTGGTTGTCTGCTGCAGCTTCTGCAGCTCTCCTGTAGGTCTGGCTTGAGGGAGAGAGAACCTCTGGCCCTTAAATGTGTACACTCTAGTCTCTGCTTTTTGCTCATGGTGGAATTCTCAAACTCTGCTGCCAA